CACCAAGAGATTCAAGAGGATTACTAAGTGTACAACTAAGATGGAGTTCAATAAAAAATTCTACATTATCCCCATCAGAAAGAACAGACATAAAAACATTGATTATAAACCAATCCAGAGAAAGGTAATCTAAATCAAACATTTCCAACTCTACCCACCTTTAAAACCAAACCATAAACCATACAGAGTAACCAGAATCCAACTAACACCAAATTAACATTCACAATATAACATAAGCCAAAACTCCCATCCAGATCAATAAAATATTTCCAAATTAAGTTCTCAAACATTTTAAATAGAAATAGAGAAGATATACCATAGTAAAATGGGATCAAAACTTTAAGAGAATTGAAATATTAAACTCATTTTGGTGATTTCCATAGCCTTCATCCCAACCAAACTAGGTCTTATCCCTTGCCATCCATTGATCAACTTCAACCTACTTAGTGAGGAATCAAAACTCACTACTCTCATTGCCTTAAACTAGAGATCAATCCTCAGAGCCAAAAATCTAATACTTCATACCTCTTCATTTGTATTCCACTGACTTGATACAAATCTAGCTAACACTATATCAGGCGATACCAATCAAAGATAGTCTTCCCCCTCGATACCCTTAAAGAACCCCATAGTTTCTTTACTCATAACCCAATCCAAGCTTGGTTCCACACATCACCACATTTTCACACCTTCTATTTCCTTATCCAAATCCTATTAATCACCATCTTACCTTGATTCCCTCCATACACTTACCCTAATCCACACCCAAACCAAACCATAGCTTTAAGCCAACCACACAAATACTAGCCATGGAATGATGGAATATCACTTGCCAGACACGAGAAAAGCTCTTCGGTGATGAGGGAAGGGGGAAGCCTCTGGTGTAACATCTTGAAAAACTAATCAAGATTTAGTTAAGTAAATGAGAGTAATTAAGTGAATTAATGTAATATATGGCTAGAAAGGTCTAAGAAGTGTGGTTAGTTGTGATTTCAGTCATAAATATAGGTCTAAAGTATAGTCAAGCCATTAAAGCATCAAAAGGTATGGAAGAATTGAAGATGGGTCCTCTGTGCCACATCTCGTGACGTGAGGAACATTCACCATGGCCAATAGAGGCAACCAATAAGGAAGAGCCTATTTATGCCATGCACCATGCACCTATTGCATCTATTCAAAAAATTAAAAGAGAGGAAGGAACGAAGAGCACACTTATTGCTCTACTAGGGCATAAACTTGAGGATCATTAGAGATATTTTAGAGCTTCCTACCAATAAGGTAAGTGCATTATGCTTTCTTCTTTCCTTTCCTTCTATTTTCATGAAGGTTAAAGTTAGAAAAGTAATTTTCAATCCCTATGAGCTATGAGTCTAAACCCATTAACTAAAATAGATACAATGAGATTTGTTTAGAGTATTTAAAACCTCACATTTATGGTTTTATAAGGTATTGTTGTTAAGGGCCATTAATATCCAAAAATGGTAATAAATAAGGTTATTAGGAGTGTTTGATGGCCATTAATGGTGGTTTAACTATTCATTAATGATAATGTGAGTTGTTAGGACCTAGTAAACACCTTGGGTATGATGGGGAATGAGTTTATATTTTTATGAAATGAATAAGGTGGAGTTGAATGTTGGAAATTACTTATAAGGGGACATGGACGAATGTCCTTGTCTTTTGTTGTAGATTATTTAATTTCGGAGCCATTCAAGCTAATTCAAGAGCTTTGAAGAGGTTGTTTTGAGGGGTAAACCTTTAGTCTCTCAAAAATTTGAAGTAATCAGGAAAAAATTTAATTTTTATAGTTGTTTATTAATTAATTAATTATTGAAGTTAATGATTTGGAACTTGTTTGATGTTTGTAAACCCATTGATGCAAGTTTTGGCAAAGTAATGAATTACGTGTATGGTATTGTCTTGAATTATGGAGAGTAATATGTATATTTATGTATATGTATCTATAAATGATAATATGAGAACTACTCATTGTGAAAATGAAAAATATGTGATTCTTAGTATGTGGATTTTTGTGGAAAAAGAGAAATATATATATGTAAGATGATATGGTTAATGTGTGTTAAATGACATATTACTTGTTATATTTGCACAAGCATGATCATTTGGTGGGAGTTTCACTTAAGAAGAGGAGTAAATTGGTAAATTCACGTGATAGTGGCGGTTGACCGTTGGAATTTGAAGCTTGCCTTGACACCGATTGTTAAAATCGAGAGGTAGCTGTTGTTTTATGATTGATTTGAGACTATCCCAGTAATTCTTTAAAGAACAAGAACCTAACTTATTTTTACTAGTTCACGAGGAGGCTAGATTAGGGGTACGACACCCCATGATTTTTAATATTGGGAGAAATCTCTATACATAAGTGAGTGAGTTAACCCTAGCCCAATAGCTCCGCACAAGTGTAAGGTTAGATTAGTTTAGGCTATGAATAGAGCCATTGATAGCCACTAGTTTCACGTTGGAAGCAACAGGAGAGTATAAGACTGGCATTGATTATGCATTTTAATTTCGGCCATATGGTAGTTATTTTTGTGGTCCATCATTTTAATTAGGGGTGTATGGTTATTATTTTTGCAATCCTGTGATATGTGTAACTGAGATGTTTGATTATATATATCATATGCCTAATTACATGTTATTTTTGTAGCCAAGGCTATATTTAATATATGAGCATATGATGAATGTTTATTTCTATTTGCATCCATAATTAATTGATATGCAACTTCATAAGTTAGGTTCACCTTGGTTACTGGGTGATTGTACTCACCCTTTATTCTTTAATATTTCAGTACCTAACTCATCAGATCAAGATCAGGGAAAATGACCAGAGGCCTAGGATCGTGCGTAAATCCTAATAGTAGACCTCTAGATTTACTTTTATGTATATTTAAAATGTTAATTTGTCAATTAGGATTTCATTCCATTCTTTTGATTACTTGCATTATAGTTAAGAAAATCATGTGTATTTTGTACCCTGAGCCAATGATATGTAATTGTAAAGCTTAAATATGGTTGAAATACTTGTGTAAAAACGTAATGGTGTATTTGGTTACTTATAATGGATATTTGATGTATTTGTGCAAAGTTAACTCCCCCTTATATTTTTATGAATCAAGGGGTTTAGTGGTGAATACATGATATATGTGTATTGGAATGGATGTGGTGTATTGCACGAGTTCAAAATAGTCCATTAAGTGTAGTCTAAAGGTTAGTGTAGGCTTTTGAATGTATTGGAGTTTAGGCACCTTGGTTGTGAGATTTTTGTGAAAAAAGAGTGACAATTGTAAAAGTTGTCCAACTTTTTGTAGAAAAACAATTTGATTGTGAAACTTGTGACATTAGTTAGAACTAGGAAAAAATCTCTCTATAGATACTTAAATCACCTCAATCGGATGTCGGACAGAGAAATGAAATGCATTGAAAGTTCATCTCGGGTACTGTCATAAGACAACAAAATTTGCTATCAAATTTCGTGCAATGTACTGCATCACATGATGCTTCTACCGCTGCGCATGGCACATATCCATGCACGTTGTAGTGCACCTATAGTAAACCATAGTGCATGTGCTGTTTTGTGCACAGTTCACTGTTTTGGTAGTTATAAACATATGTAATGATCCTTTTTTCAAATTCTATGCTTTCGCATATGTTTTAAACTTTAATTTAAAAATATTGAGAATATATAGGATTATTTTAGATTGTGAAACTTGAGATCCCTATTTTAATATTTTATAAACTTGATAGGTTAAACTCTTAATTATCTTAATTTTGAGAGTTAATGATGTTTTAATAGGAGCAACCTTACATCTGGTAAAGCAAACTTTACAAGGCCACTTGCGACCTACTCACACTAGGGAAAAGAAACCCTAGGAGAAAAAAAACCCAAAGAGACCCCAAAGACATAACCACAAAGATTCAAATTAACAGATATAATAGGGCAGACATTAAATTAGCCCAGTGGAGCCCATATTCAAATTACCCAATCACTTACATAGAACTTGCCAATTAGTTTCAATCAAGGTTTCAACTAAATCATGACCCCAGAATCCGCTCATACCATTCACAACATGTTGATTCATTAACTATGTAGAAGGAAACAATCCTAGCCAATTACAATCGACACTTGGTGGAACTCATCATTTGTCCCCTTTGATTCGGAAAACAACATTCCTACTGATTTTAATCAAATCGTAGATATAAATATACGATCAACAGCAAGAATTGATTTCATGGCTATGCTAAATGAGTTAAAACCAGCCAAAAGAAAGAAAGCATCCATATGTTAATACCAGTTTAAATCCCCAAACAACAATGTGTGACTGTGTGAATAGGTCTCAGAGCATAATATCACTTAGAAGACGGAGGCACCTAATTCAATAGACCCTATAGTTGCTTATGGATAATTCCTGAATTATACATCTCCATGCTTTTAGATTACCAAACATCTTTAATATATAATCATCAATCTCGTTACTTTTGGATTTTTTATTTACGCCCTAAAGACGAACATAGCTCTAGACCTCGCCATTCTTGGTTGTTTCTCCTTCATCTCTATTGACGCCATAAAAACTAGAATCCATCATTGTCCCCAAGCTTTCCTCCACTTGCCAACCCCCACATAGCCATGAACACATTGCTCCCTTGGCTATCATCAGAGTAAGAACGCCAAGGTTCTTGTTTAGGGAAGGCTTTCCCCTTCAAAGAAAGACTCTCTTACAAAGATAGAGAGAGAATGAATCTTGATTTTTAAATATTTAAATTCAATCTTTACCCAAATCTTTTATTTTATTTTATGTTTCTTTTATAGAGAGGCAAATTCAGCACAATTAAGGTGAAAATCACTTGGAACTGAAGCATTATTCTATTCCATTGCATTGCATTATCTTAATCATATCCCTTCACCATCAATTTATCCAAATCTTTGTTATAAAATAAGATAACAATAGCAATAAATTAATAATAACGTAGTTCTCTATTTCTGACCCTACGGCCTGCGTTTCTCTCCACATCACGAGAGTTCATGCTAAACCTATGCGGTCGTTCACACGCTGCGCCTTGCTGGGGAGTTTTCCATTTCTGCATTTCAAACACCTCAAGTTTAAGAGTACAGAAAAGTCCCAATGAAATCTGATTTCATGTCCGTCTCTATGGTCAAAGCGGCAGTATGTTTCTAACGACGAGGAAGAAGACACTCTCTGACTAGCTCAGAGTGGCTTTCGCCTCTATAAGCTGTTAGGCAAAGGCCGAGAGCATCCCGTTAATATAAAGACTGACGTTTGTCAATTGTCACCGTAACCCTGTAATTTCAAGCATCTCCGTGAATGGGCCAGGCTGCTTCCGCGGCTGCAGTCCCTTGCCTTCGCCAAACCAATCATACCCACCGCTCCACGTCCAAATCCAGATCAACGGCGTTCATTTCCCCTATGCTTTTCAATGAAAATCACGAGTCCCCGTATGAGGTTATCCATACAGTGCCTGACTACATCTCTGAGCTTCCCGACGAGTGCTTGGCTTGCATTTTTCAGTCACTAAGCTCCGCCGACCGTAACCGCTGCTCCCTCGTATGCCGGCGGTGGCTCCGGGTCGAGGGACAGAGTCGTCATCGTCTCTCTGTCAACGCTCAACTTGATCTGCTCCCGGTCATCCCTTCTCTTTTCTCACGTTTCGATTCCGTCACGAAGCTCGCTTTGAAATGCAATCGTAGATCTGTTAGCATAGGGGACGAAGCGCTCGTTCTTATCTCTCAACGATGCCCGAATCTGACTCGCCTGAAACTTCGTGTCTGCCGTGAAGTTACGGATGCTGGGATGGAAGTCTTTGCTAAGAATTGCAAGGGTTTGAAGAAACTTTCCTGTGGATCTTGCACTTTTGGAGCCAAAGGGATGAACTCAGTGCTCGATCATTGCGCCTCTATAGAAGAATTATCTGTCAAGCGTCTCCGGGGAATTGCCGATGTAGCATCGGTGGAGTCGATTGGACCCGGTGTTGCAGCGTCATCTCTCAAAACTATTTGTTTAAAAGAGCTACATAATGGACAGTGTTTTGGGCCCCTTATTCTTGGCTCGAAGAATTTAAGGACTTTGAAAATTTTTAGGTGCTCTGGCGATTGGGATAAACTTTTTCAACTCCTAGCGGATCGAGTACCAAGTATAGTCGAAGTCCACCTTGAGAGGCTCCAGACAAGCGATATTGGCTTAGAGGCAATCTCGAATTGCTCGACTCTGGAAATTTTGCATCTTGTCAAGACTCCAGAGTGCACAGATTCAGGACTTATCGCTATTGCAGAACGATGTAAGCTCTTAAGGAAACTTCATATTGACGGATGGAAGATGAATCGTATAGGAGATAAAGGTCTAATAGCAGTCGCTAAATATTGCCCACATCTTCAGGAATTGTTCCTTATTGGTGTCAGTCCTACTAATGCGAGTTTGGAAATGTTGGCCTGCAATTGCCTGAATCTAGAGCGGTTGGCGTTATGTGGAAGTGAAACAGTTGGTGATGTTGAAATATCGTGCATTGCAGCAAAATGCATAGCACTGAAGAAACTTTGTATTAAGAACTGCCGTGTGTCTGACCACGGTATGGAAGCACTCGCATCTGGTTGCCCGAATTTGCTGAAAATAAAGGTTAAGAAATGCAAGGGTGTAACCTCTGAGGGTGCAGATTGGCTGAGGCTATGTAGGGAGTCGCTTGCTGTACATTTAGATGCTGGTGAGACAGAACATCATGACGCAAGTGCTAGTGATGGCGGGGCTCAAGAAAATGGCCTAGAATTTCCTTCAATCCCCAACCAGACAGCAGCTTCGGCCACCATTGCATTAAGCAGTACTGGTCGATCAAGTTCATTCAAGTCAAGGCTAGGACTTTTCTCTGGGAAAAGCTACCTCGTTTGCACTTTGAGACGATTGTCTGGTGGTAACCGTAGTTCTCGGCATAGTTAGACTGAGGGATTTTAGTTGAGTCACTGAAGTGACGGGCAGTTCGGCAATTCAAGTCATTGACCATTCATATTATTATTTGGTGATGTAATCACTTGGTTGGTTCTCTCTCTCTCTCTCTCTCTCTCGTATTTAAAGCTAAAATTTCTTCTTGTGTGTTTTTTATTGCTTTTTTAGATGAATCCTTTTTAGTTAAATTGAAAAATTCAATTTGTTTGTTGTTTTTCTCCTGCATTATTGTTGCTGTTACGCTAGTTGTTGATCTTACCTTTTCTCAGACTTGTCCGTATCACCCAATTGATTCTTAGAGCACTTAGTTTGTAAACTTCAGCTTCAGCTTGTAAGAGTTTCAGGGATGGTGAATGTAGTTGTTTAGTGATGATGGGTACATGGAACTTTCAATGGTTTTGTTAGATCTTCGACTGGTAACTGGAGGAGAGCACGAGCACGATGCAAGCTTCTAAGTAAAATAGATGCGACGTGTTTGTGGTTGAATATTTACAGTTTAAGTTGATCATCTTATCAAATAAAGTGAGTAAAGCGAGTTTTTGCCCCATGAAGGAGATCCTGTTCGCATTTGAAGATGGTTAGAGTTTGGCCATTGTACGTGTGCGTGACAAGACAGCATGAGTTTTCATTAAAGTTGAATATTTGATCGTTATCACCAGACATTAGGCTAGCATATGATTATATGATATCATGTGAAACTGACGGGGAAGAATTATGATTCCACTCTCACAATAGGCTGTATTGAACGTGGTTCGTTCGTATTGTCATTTCTTGCCTAGATCCATGGTTTTTATGATTCATGGTAATTGTTGTGCCCATCGGTATCCTCCTTGACGTTTATTTATTTGACTCAAATTATTTTAATTAGTAAATCTCGTTAATCATCTCAACAGAACAATGGTAAATTATCTCCTAAATAGTGAGAAATGAAAATAGAAATAGCAATGAAACAAGAAGGAAGTTGGGAAAAAATAAAAGAGATGATTAAAAGAGGGAAATTGTATCTCAAACAGCACGAGAGTATAGTTGATTTTCTAGCTGAAAATTATCCATTATCTCCCATCACTCGAAAACTGGATTGTTTAATGTCTTCTTTGGTCACGGTTTGTGGCAAGGGTTGTGAAGGAGAATTTTGGGACGGACAAAAGCAAAATTGCACCAGGAAGTTTTACCCAAAAAAAAAAAAAAAGTATTGCACCAGGAAGAACCAAATTGCAAAATAAATCCAATTCCAAAAATCTCTTCTTTTTTTGTCATAACAACATAAATTCACTTAGATAATCTAAAATACTAGAAATTTGTGAATAAAATGTTGTATAAAACTCAAAAAAAAAAGAAAAGAAAAGAAAAGAAAATGCCCAATTCATTGAATCCTTCGATAAATCCCAATCTTCCATTCAAGGGTAGTGAAGATAAGGGATGTCAAGGATGTTTAGATTTCAATTGAATAAAATTGATTATCAAATAAAATTGTAAAATAAGTTATGATGAGATGGAACTTCAAATAACTTCTTGATACAATTTCATAGCCATAATTAATTATCAAATGAAGTTTCAAAAAATAGTGCCGGGGCGATTTTTCTCTCATAACAACCAAGGCAGGCATGCTTCAGGCAACCCATGGCATCCCTCCTATAAAGACCTAGGATTTAGGGGATTTTTGTAGGGAGGGTCGGAAGAAGATAAAGAACCAAGCCATGGGCTAGAAGGTGAAAGAAGCATAAAAGCGAGCGATCGCATCACAGCACAGATCAACATTCTCCGGTTAAGTCATACAGCAGACAACGTAGATAGCTGAGGATACATCATGTGAATAATGAAATTCATTCAACCATTGTAGCATTGTCAAATGATCACAGAATCAATCTACAGAAGCTGGACACTAGCAATAATCAACATGTTCCTGCCTTCACGGCTTGAATATATAAATACATCCATATGTACACAGCGAATACTAGACTTTAAAGTTTAGAGACTACTTATCTGATTAAATCTTATAAGCAGCTATCAGTATATTTATGGGCATGCGGCATGACGAAAGGAGTATCAAGCATACTATCATTCTCCTTTGTCCTCCGTCGGCTTCGTCATCCACTGCTTCAATATTCACACCATTCACTTAAGCACTGCTTACTTTGTTATTAGCTCCAAAAGCCCAGGAGCGTTTAGCTGGAGTTCGCTTCATAGCCTTCACTCCAAATGGACTGTCCTTGCTCTGTAGCGGACAGAAATAATTCAGTTAAAAAAACTAGAGTGTTAGCGAGCGAATAACTAGATAACAATAGAGTTCGATCAACATTGTAAGATTACCATGAGACATGTGCCTTCATCAAGGTTGCAGATGGGATAGTCGTGAGGGCAGCAACTAGAGTGGTCATCACAGCAGGTGGCAGCCTCAAGAGGACAGCATCCCCATGAAAAGCAATACCTGCCATATTCGTACACGCAGCAGCAAGTAGTGCTTTCAGCACAACTGTAGTAACTATCGCAAACAGTTGGAGGCTTTACAGGTGAAGGCGGTGATGGTCCTGGGTTTGGGGGATTTGGGCTTTTCTTGATTGGGTAAGACGACTCCATTGCAATTCCACATTTTCCAGTGTAGCTTGCAGCCAAATTACGTTCCAATCTCACATACCCGTCTTCCCCCCAGGCCTTGCCCCATGAGTTTCTCACTATCCAATAGTCAACTCCATTTTCAGTACCATATCCCACAGCTGTGACACCATGATCTAATGCTGTTCCACATGCTCCCGTGAAGATGCCCTGACAAATTTGAGGTTAATGGAATCAGTAAGGAGGTTTAGGCAGTCATTTGGCAGCAATTAATCCATAAAAATAGTCATTTGAATAAGCTTCAAATTGCACCACTTCTGATAAACGAGTAAACAGAGAGAAGCCAAGTCCACGTTTCATCTATCTCTTCTTCTATATAATTGTGCGCTCAATATGGGGAAAAGAAAAGGAGCGAGAGACTTACGGATACATATAACTGGAATTCCCTGCCACCACCTTCAATGGCAACGCTTACTGGCTGATTTGCAACAGCCTTTTTCAATGCCCTCTCGTCATTGGCAGGAACGTCCTCATAGCTATCAATTGAGACGACTTTAGCATTTTTCTGCAGACGAGACAGGAAAAATTATCATTACAGCATCAACTATTTTCCACAAGCTTAATTCAAGTAACCAAGACTGCCAAGACTCACCCTGTATGTGTCACATCTACCATCAACAGCGCGATAGGGGTAATCATCTTCGGTGTCAATGCCACCGTTGTTGATGATGAACTCAAAACCGTAGTCCATGAGTCCGCCATTGCATCCTTCGTTATAAGAAGTATCGCAGTCTACCAGCTCTTGCTCTGATAGTGAAATTAAATCGCCAGTCACTATCTTATTAATTCCTTCCACTGCAGAGACAGTTGAAAAAGCCCAGCAGCTCCCTTCATAAAAGAAATGAATCGTGTGAATTGATGAAAACAAACGTGTGTAGAGTTGGTTATTCAAATGAGACTCAAGGGCTGTTCAACGCCAGAAAGTTATTCACAAATTCTTCCTCATTTTTACAGAGGTTGAAGAATACTTTTGTTAGTTGTTTGTAAATTTTACAGTAAACTAGAAACAATCATTACACGAGCCCCCGAAAAATTGATTACTGACGACTAATGTTAAGGAATTTAGGAGGATCATGTCGGAAAGTGCAAATCAACAATAGTGGGCCTCAGCTCCAAAATATCTGTGGGTTTTCCACTTAATCTGAGATCCACATCCAGAAGCCTGATGTAAATGGGCCCAACATCTCGCTCAAGCCAATTCTACTAATTTAGAGCAACAGCCGATCAATGTACAGGATACCAACATTAGAATAAAGGCACATACAACATATCAGATTAATTTTTTTAAAAAAATCGACACATGCTTTGTATGTTCGCAGTAATAGAAAACACTTCCTGATTCCCAAAAGGGAGAATTACTGTGGATGATCCTAGTAAAAGTAGCATACAAAAATAGCATAAGTTGTCTAGCAGCTTAATTTATGAGGTACGAACTACGAACTTACCTTGAAGCCACCCGGGGAGGGGATTATTATTTTCTACATTCACTATGTTTCTGGAAGTAAAGTATTGGAAACTGTCCTTATCATTTCATGTGGTGGAGTGAGAAGTGCTTTATTTCCTTTAATCGCGCGTTTCTTACACTGTTTTCACTTCAAATATATACATATACACCAACAATGGTTTCTTAACTTTTTTGTTTTATAAAAAATCCTTTTGCTTGTAAAAAGATATTCGCAAAAAATACGCATTGACAAGAAAATACACGGACAATTTAGACCGATCAATTACAAAGCCATAATTACAGGTCATATGTTGGTAAAAAGAAGAAGAGGTTATCTCGACGCGGATACACCCCATACAGACATGCTGACACCTGGAAACCCATCAATTACAAAACAACAACAGCTAGTTATCTGTCCACAAAGCAGTGTATCTAAATACAGATGCAGTGATTTGTATTTAGTTATGAGAGCTGATTCTTGAATTTGATGCAAAAACACTATGACCCTAATATCAAATAATTGTTCCAAAAAAATCGGTCAAAAAGTGAAAATTTAAATGCTTGAATTATAAATAATATAGTGCTCCAAAAAATTCGTCAGGCACAAAGGCTGATACGGAATTTAACGAAAATTAATAAAATCGAAAACTGTGGGTAAGGCACAGAACTTACCGCAACTTCCTTGGTCTTTGACCTCGACCACGGCGCCTTTCTTCCTCCAATCAACAGAATCCGGTAAATTGTCACCGACACGTGGAGCGTAACGGTTGCTCCTGGTCTTGGCTATTCTCCTCTTGGGATCAATCCTGGTTCCAAGATACTTGGCCCGGTACTCGTCGTTGGTCAGATCGGCGAACCGATTCAACCCCAGCTTGTAGGTCCGATTCTCGGCGTTGCGCTCATCGATGAACCTGAGGTTGTCCTTGAAGATCTGAAACCTCTTCTCCTTCTCCCCCAAACCGTTGTAGACCTTGCCGTGTTTCAAAAGCCAGTGCTCGTACATGTTCATGACCTCCTCATCAGTCCTCCAGTTTGAGCCGTCGGCATGAGCTGTGTCGTAGGAGATGATCGACATGTCCAAGGCGGACGACAGGGTGAAGATGGCGAATAAGAGGAGCATCATGGCAGAAGATGATCTAGACGAAGCCATCAGAGATGAAGTTGGAGAGAAACACTCGACCAAGGCGAGGAGAGGGGTGGGAATTGAGGCGGAGTATGTGGGGCCTTTTAAAGGCAAAAGGGTGAGCGCTGGAATCGGATTCCTGATATTATTAAAAAAATATATAAGGGTGAATCATAATTAGTCAGGAAATAGTATCGTCAGAAATAGACAAATAGAAGATAAGATTTTGGAGATTGAGGATGGTTTATTTTTTATTTTGAAATAAAAATTATTATTTTCATCCAAAAAAATAAAAAAATTATTTTTTAAACACACTATATTTAATTATTAAAATTAAAAATTATTATCATAACCAATCAGCGTAAGTCACTTTCTAGTATTACTATTGGCCATATTTTTAACTCAAATTATTTTTAAATTAATATAATCAACATATTTTTATTTTAAAAAAAAATAAAAAACTATATTACAATGTTTAATATTTAAAAACACAAATTTTGGAAAAAATGTCAAACAGGATCTGAAATTATTCTTTTGTGGTTTTTTTTTTTGGCTAGTTATTCTTTTACGTTAGAGGATAAAAACTAACAATTTATTGCAAAAAAAAAAAAAACAGAGAGAGAGAGAGAGAGAGAGAGAGAGAGCAGGTAAAAACTAGAAAGTATACTGAATAGGTTGGAGAGTAGAGAGCATGTGAGTTGGGTGGCGCCTGGTCACTAGTTTCAGGCGCGGAACGAATGAGTCTGCAAGTGAATTTTAATATGATGATGAAAATATTAATAATAAAAATTTATTATAAAAAAATAATTTATAAAAAAAATCACTTGTATTTAATTGAAAATAAACAATTAAAGAATACTCCTTCTGTTTAAAAATATAAACTATTTTTAATCGAATCTCACCTCCTTAATAAAATAGTTATCTATTTTTTAACTAATCTTATATTTTTATATTTATCCTTATAAAACACTTTACAATAAATATAAAATTATTATTTAATAAAGATATTTTTAAAAAAAGAGCAATGATTATATCTTAAAGATTAATAATATTTTATATTTTTTAACACTTAATTTTTTAAAAAAATATTTTATATTTTTTAACGAAAAGAATATAAGTTTTATATATATATATATATATATATAGCGATTATGGAAAAGATATCAAAAAAGCAAACTTGATTGGGGGAGAGGGGGGGGAAGTCCCGAGCTTTGGTAAATATCATTTGGTTTTTCTTTACAACGAAACCAAATTGAGCCTGCGCGCACACCTAGTTTCACCGTTAGCCAGGTGCCTAGGCCAATAAATCCTAATGGATTAGAGAAGCACTGGCTTACAGGCCAACTCACACCGTCTTAGTTACCGAAAGGGGCGGATATTTCCAAGATATAATTATAATTATAAATAAATACTACTATCTTTTAGTGTTGAGGGAACTAGCGTACAAGTATGTGCCACGTTTTCAATCTCATGTGACGCCTTCAATGGGTGGAATTTCCGACTTGCGCTTTTTCCTGTTGCATTTGTCATGACGCTGTGACGCTTCCCGGAGGGAGGGGCTCCCTTGCAATTTCATTCTCTTTTTGGGGCCGTAGGGAATTTTGCGCTTCATGTCAATTATTTCCCCCCAATCGCTTTCCTCCAACTTGTCGCTGTGATCCCCTCTCTGCTCATCTCCTCGTCTCCCCCACATGAACTTCCTATTATTCCTCAAAATTACAAAAAATAGAAGTACATAATAAACTGAGTAGAAAATAAATACATGAAGAAGAAATATAATGGAGACAAGAGGAGGGAGAATTTTCTCATGACCTGTTTGCTTTCCCAACTAAAAAAAAAATGAAGTAGAATGAATTGAGAGAATAAAGATAAAAATAAATTGATTAGGATAGGGGAGGGAATGCAAATCAACCATGTTTATGAAAGGAAAAACCAGTTTAATTTATTAAATTATGAGTCATGATTTATGAGATTTATAAAAAATATGATAATTTCTATATTTATGATATGTAATATCAAGTTTTATTGTGTTTATCATAGAGAAAGTAAGCTTATTTTTATTAATTTTTTATTACTTATAAATATTTTCCTATTAAAAACAATTCTGCATTCTCCCAATTAAAATTCAAATCTTGATTTATTACGTTATAAAACAATAGCCTCTTTCGATAAATACAACCCTTGATTATTTTTATTATTACTTTATTCCATTATCATCATTTTCAACAACCAAACAACTCCTTAAATTATTGCTCCTTAATCTTTAAAATACAAATAACAATATAATATGTTCTATTTGTAAAAATGATCCTTCACATCAAAAATTACAATAACAATAAATGAAAATCATAAATAACAACACTAATTAGTGTGTGAGCCAGAGTTGAGTGTAAGATTAATGTAATAATCAAGGAGAGTAGTTTGAAAAGATGGAGGTTGAGAGAGAAGAACATCTACACAACTTTTGATATTTATAATTTATAATACTTCAACAAGTATATCAAAAAATGTCTAGTTTAACTCGTCGAATGAGTTAAACTAATTTATCATATGGTTATAACTAAGATATATAATAGCATAAAAAAATTAAACTAAAAGTATGCCAGAGGTACTTGCGAAGTCACCATCAATCATAGCGGTCTTATACAATAGAATGTTGGATGGGTGATCATGATAGTATAAATATCTCCATAGGTTTCTCAAGATATTGAACGATAAAATTTTAAGAAAGATACTTATATTACTCCCCTCGAATATCCATCAGACCATCACATAAAAATGTGCCCCATTAAATTTCCCTTACGTCATTTATTGATACGTTACGATGCCACCCGCCTTATTCAAAATTTCTCTAGGAAAACAAGTGGAAAAAACCTTAGACAGGTAAAAAGAGCACCGCGGGTCTAAAATTAATCAATAATATGACTGTAAAGATCAGAACAAGTTTTGCGTCATAATTGTTAAAAGTTAAAAATTTTAATAATCACTCGTACATAATTGTCATGAAAACATAATTGATGATATTATAGAGAGAAAAGATTAATTGTCATCCTATTTATTAAACATTTTATTATTTTTTATATTATTTTTATATTTTTATCTTTATTAAATGTTATAAAAAATTATTAAAAATATTTTTTCCTTTGTTGGAAAGTAGAGGTAGAAACTTATTAAATTTTACAACAAACTTAATAAAATTTAAATTTTTTTAATTTAGATAAAATATACTAAAAATGATTTATAAATAAGGTAAAGGAGAGTAAATATAAAATACTGTCATTCCATTCAATAATGATAGTTGCTGGATTTTGTTTCGTTCTTAAATTTACGATGTTATTATCATTTTTTTATAATTTGTATTATAAATTACAATACGAAAAATGTAAACTATATGTTAAGAGTTGGCCAAACTAAAACATCAAGAAATTAAATGAAAATTAAAATGACAATTAAGACTAGTTAATTATGATGCTTGTGAGCAGTAACAAATCTAGAAACACATAAGGGGGACCAATATAAAAAAATCGCCTAAATATGGGCGGCTACAATTAACTTAAAAAAAAAACAGAGTAACAAAAATTCAATGGGTGGAATGAGAGATACCTTACAGATGAAGAATCTATAAATATATAAATAAATGAAGAAAGATGGATGTTGTGGCAAAAAAAAAAAAAAACGGTACGCTGTTTAGTTCTGATTTCTTTTTTTTTTTGTCCTGCGAACAAAAATTATTTATAAATAAATCTCATAATTAAATATTATGGCCAAGTCCCTTGAGATTCAGTTGTAATTTGAAATTATGATGTAAATATAATATTATCTTTATTTGTAATGCATGATTAATTTAATTATTGTATATGTAAAATCATAATTATAAAAAGTTGAAGTGGTTGTTGTGAATTATTGATGAAATAATTGTAAATAATTAGTATTAAACTTTGTTAATAATGTATGATCAATTTAATCATTAGACATATGAAATTATAGTTGTAAATTATTGATGAAATAATTATAAAATAATTGTTATTAAAATTTGTTAGTGGCGCATAAGTAGTTTAGCTATTAGATATGTGAAGTTATAATTATAAAATATTAAAGTGATAGTTATAAATTAGTGATGATACAATCTTATACCATTAATATTAAATTTATAACACATGATCAATTTAACCAGTTGACATATAAAATTACAATTATAAAAAGTTGAAGTGATATTTATAAATTATTAATAAATTAATTATAAATTATTTGATTAATGTAATGTATTTTTAATAAAAATATTATAAGTTTTACATCATAATTTTAAATTACACTCAAGTTTCAATAAATTTAGATATTGTTTTTGAATTCTGCAAAATTTATTTATAAATATATATGCTTTGCTAAAGACTGAACCACAGGCTTGGTGCAACAATTTATTTATAAAATTTATTATTATTTTTTACCAAATAGTTCTTGAAATTATTTTGATTCTTCGTCATCTGATAAAGACTGAACGACAGGCTTGGTGTAACAATCGACAGCGGAATCCTCTCAAAGATGCAGTGCTCAGTGCTCACCCATGACCTCATGTTTGGTATCTTCATCATTTTCCGTGCTCCTTAACAAAAATCTGTCCATCGTGATATTCTTATGACAATTTTATTTAAGCTTGTGTATTTAATGACTGTATAAACCTTGATGATGATAACATTTCTATATGCATTATAATATCCATACCCAAAAAAAATTCATATACAGTTTTTTTAAAAAAAATCGCGCTGTTCATAACACCCATTCTTGAGACTCACAGCAACGGTAAAAGATCCATATTATTTACTTATAATAATTAAATGAATTTTGAAAATGAGAACATTAATGAAATTATTTTTAAAAATGATGAACAAGACGACAGGGAGTAACGAGGCCACGTGAGAGTTTGGTTGCCCCACGATGCCTGAGACTGAAGCAAATATCTTGAGAGTTCGGTGAAAGAGAGATGGAAGGAATCTACTGTCTAATAGTCTGCTTGATAATCTGCATCAGTATTTAGCAATTCAATTTGATCTTGCTTTCCTCTGCGTGTATGCTTTTCAAACAATCAATAT